CGACGACAGTAAGGGAAAAGAAAGAATGGAGATTTTGGTTTTAAATCTTCCAAAATTCATAACTTGAGCTAGAGACCTCCAAATCACTCCGTTCCAAAGCCAAACCTGTGAGAAATTTCGAGAGGAACCTATTGGTACCAATATTTCTGGGTGGGGTTCACTGTAGAGAGAGATCTTCTCCCCCAAAGATTTCGAATTTCATGGAAAAGATAGATTTTGATGGAGCTTGAGGCCATGGGAGCTTAGGAACTCATCTCTCCTTTGTTCTAGAGTGCATTGTGGTAAGAAATTCCCTTCCTTTTCATGTTTTTATGAAGATTGAATTTAGGTTTTCATTTTGAAAATTTGTTTTGATTGAGCATGTTAGAGCTTGATTCAAGTTTAGCTCATGTTGAGAAAAGTGTTTAGATGAGAATTTTAACGGTGAAAATGTATTTGAAAAAATTAAAGATAACGTATTTTTGAATAGTGTCGTATACGTGAATAATGACGTATACATGAATAGTAATGTAGAGAGGAACAGTACTGTATATATATGAATTAATGAATCTTGGATTAAAGGTGTGTGATAAGCTTGAATTTGATGGACTAAAGCATTGGAATCATGAAGTTGGCATGATTTCTTGTATGTGCCTCTTAGCCATTTTCAAAGGAAGTATGTGCTATGAGTTACTGTTTTACAAAGCGAGCATAATTTTATGCGTGGAATAATATTTTAAGGTGTATAGACCTTCGCTTTGGTGAAATAAAAAAGAAAATAAGGTAGTTCCTTTGTATGGCCTTAAAATGAGTTTTGGCCATTTTCAAAGGAAGTATATGTGCGGAGATATTGTTTCGCAAAGTAAGAACACTTATATGTGTAAAATAATTTATATAGGTGGCTAAGCTTGGGTTTAGGCACTAGACAAAGAGAAATCTTATAGCTCCTTTGTAATGGGCATTCTGCCTTAAATTGGGAAAAATAGGCTTTTAGGTGGTAAGAGGAGTAATGAGTGTTCTAAAGGCCTTTTGGGACTATCCTAAGACTAAGTGAACATGTGGAATTTTGTAGGGATTTGTTGAACAAAGAACCACCCACTCATGACTTAATATGATTAAGTAAAAAGAAAATAAACAATAAAGTATGTGTCTTGTATATTTACATGGCATTATATCATTTTATTGAGTTTTGTGTTGAATTCCTTCTCTAGGTGTGCCTAGAGACTGTGAACGTTTGGATTCTCGTGGAGCAAGATAAATAGCTTGTTCTTCAAGTAAGCAAATTGTAAAGCTCCAAGAGGTAAGCTCTATGTTTATGGGGTTTGCTCCTACTTTGTGTTCCGCCATAGTGTACGGACTGTGGTCAGGTTGTATGATATGTATGAGATATATGATATAGATGCATTCATATAGAGCTATATGATAATATGATATGTTTTGTTTTGATGTATTTACTTTGATATGTGTTAATATGATATGTTTTGTTATGATATGACTTCTGTAATATGATTTCTGTAACAATATCTGGCCATTGATTGTATAGTACCCGGATGTTCGCTTTGGGGTCCTCCCTCGGGACTGATGGTGTACGCCTCTGATATGTTCTGGTTCCGCTTTGGGGTCCTCCCTCGGGAACACGTGCGTTGATTTCCGCTTGGGGTCCTCCCTTGGGAATGACTGCGTACGCCTCTGATAGGTTCTGGTTCCACTTTGGGGTCCTCCCTCGGGAACACGTGCGTTGATTTCCGCTTGGGGTCCTCCCTTGGGAATGACTGCGTACGCCTCTGATATGTTCTGGTTCCGCTTTGGGGTCCTCCCTCGGGAACACGTGCGTTGATTTCCGCTTGGGGTCCTCCCTTCGGAATGACTGCGTACGCCTCTGATATGTTCTGGTTCCGCTTGGGGTCCTCACTTGGGAACACGTGCGTTGATTTCCGCTTGGGGTCCTCCCTTGGGAATAACTGCGTACGTTTCTGATAAGATATGTGTATATGTTTTGTTTAGTTATGATATTTGATTATATGACATGTTTTATGGGATATGTATGATGATTTTGTAAATGATATTTGTTACGTACGTTGATTTCCGCTTGGGGTCATCCCTTGGGAACGATTGCGTACGTCTCTGATATAACACGTTTGTTCTGATATGAGTATTGTGATGATTTTTGTAAAAGATATTTGTTACGTGCGTTGATTTTCGCTTGGGGTCATCCATTAGGAATGACTGCGTTTGTCTTTGATAAGATATGTATATATGCTTTGTTCAGTTATGATAATTGCTTATATGATGTTTTGTATATTATGTATCTGACTGTCATGCAGGAAGTGAGCCCAGGGTATAGAGGGTTTTCCATAAACCTGGAGTTTACTAGAGATTCGTCTCTAACCCCGTTTGGGGATATGATTTCAGGAACACAGTTAATTGAAGAGCCTCATGGGACCAGGACACTAACCGTGGCTAGAGGTACTAGTATGGGGATGTGGAGTTCTGGGTGGTCGGATGCTACTATTTGTTTTAGACGTATTTTTGGAAAAGATGTATTGTTGCATAATGTTCATATTCGATACATGTACATTTATGTATTCAGGCATGATGATATGACTATGTAGTATTCAGTTATGTTATGTATTGGATTGCATGCTATTAGATTTGTGGCACGGAGCCAAGTTCAGCATGCGCCCATAGATGGGTATCTGAGTATATTTGCATGACTGGTACTTCTGGAAATATATATTGTTTAAACTGTCTATCAGGAACTCTTGAGAGTGGGATTGGAAAATCCCCAGTTGTCCGATTTACAGAGGTTACTCTGTTCGATTTTCGTCTCCGTAAAATAAGAATTAAATTAGAAGAAGTATGCAATGTGATATGTCATGTGAAAAAGGATTAAAGAAAAAGAAAAAGTTAGTTCGTATTTTTGTAAGTTAAGTCTTCCGCTGTTTCTGTTAAGTATCATATGCATGTTAATTGAACCGGCTTGAGGTTGGGGATGTTACATACGGGATATTTAAGCAATCACATACTGGAAGGCCATGTTCAAGGTGGCATTCAATGTATATGTGCTAGGCCATGCACTGGCGTAGCAAGTTATATTTAGGTAGGGCCTAAGCCGAGATACATTTTAATAAATTTTATTTATTATATATAATTATATAAGTAATTATAATTGGGCGTTACTTAAAATTGTAAGTTGGTTCTAGTTAAAATTGTAACCGTGATGACAGACGAAGATTTGAAGCTGCTTTGAGTGTATGACCAGATAAAGTGTATGACCAGATAATAAATTGTTTTCTTCTTAATTTCTTCTTCTTCTTCTTTCATCTTTTTTTAATTAGGGTTTTCTTCTAATTTTTTTTTTATTCGCACTCACCCCCCGGAATCCAGCCATTTTGCGACAAGGTACGATGTTTCATTCCTTTCTCAAGATTTTACGGATACATGTTCTTGGAATATGCATTGTTAATTATATTATCCGCTGGGGAAGAAATTGATTTACATTTTTGAACCTTGTAAAAGAGAAATTATTTGTCTTTGTTGACCATAATTGTTTATTGGGTGTTTCTAACATGAGTGAAATTCATGCCCCTTCTTTTATTTACAATCTTTTTTGTGTGGTTGTATTTATTGATTTTATTTCTTTTGAAAAATGGAGTGTTGTTTTACGTTTACCTTTTTTTATTGGTAATGGAATTGAATTGTTTTTTGGTGTTATTTGTATTTGATTTCACAAGGAGAATGAAAATTTTGGCGATTAATCATTGGAAACTGTTAAAGGAAAAAATCAACGAAGATATATGTATATACGTGGAGTATGAAAATTTCTTATACGACCTGTAAGGCCTACAAAGTTGCAAACTAGAGTTTATAGACCCAAACCAAATTAAAATATAAAAGATAAAAAAATTTATTCACAAAGATCACATGAAATAAATTTTCATTAACATCATATACAATAATGTTCATAAAGATCACATGAAAATGTTCATAAAAATCACATAAAAATTTCATATATGTATATATACATATAATTTGCACTTTCTTTACTAATTTAATTTTCAGAAAAATATTTCTGCAATTACTGTAGATAAGTTATCTGCATTTACTCTCAAACGACGTCGTTTTGGGATTGAAACATTAAAAAATTATTATTATAAAGACTACAATAACCTTGAAATAAATTAAAATTATAAAAATATCATGATTTTCGCCCAAAACGATGTCGTATTGGGCTTACTGCAGATAACTTATCTGCAGTAACGGCAGAAAAAGCGAACCCTTTAATTTTAGGGAAAAATATTTCTGCAGTTAATGCAGATAAGTTATCTGCATTTATTCCCAAAACGACGTTATTTGGTATTGAAATCTTAAAAAATTATAAATATAAAGACTATTATAACCCTGAAATAAATTAAAATTACAAAACACCATAATTTTCGCCTAAAATAACGTCATATTGGACTTACTGCAGAATAAGCGAACCCTTAATTTTATATTATATTTTAAATAAATATTTATTATTTGTTAAAATAACATCATTTCTATTACTTTGAAAATTTTAAGTAAATTTTTTTCCTAATAGATTGTGTAATTACAAAAATATTTTGATAATTTGATATATCAAATTTTTTTGACCCCAACTAAAATTAAATTCCGACCGCCCGCTGAGATCATGTTTTAACAACGCTTTCATTTGATTATTATTTCCAGCACTAAAATATGTCAATATAAAAAACGGAGGACTAAAAGAAAAAAAGAACCTATACCATCCGAGAGAAGGTACCTGGGAAAGATTCCAAGATGCTCCCGAGCAGGAGATTCTCTTACTCTATGCTCTTTTATCATTTAATGTGTAACAACTCAGCTATGTCAGACTATCAATGTCTCACTTTAACTACATTTTTTAACGCTACAACTGAAGTAATCAGAGCAACTACTAGTTTTACTTTATAATTTCAAAATTAGCTATAACTTGTAAAGAGGTACCAACCAAGAACACTAAGAATCCTTTTGGAAATTGGAGGAAAGTAGAACAGCGCTAGAAACAACAAACTTTCCACGGGTAGGGGGCAGGGGGTCAAAACTTGGGCACCTGAATTGACATCCAACGGCAAAAGAGTAACCATATCATAGACAAGTATTGTACACTTAAGGCAAGGCAACATCGAAACCAACAAACGCTGAGTCCATTCCAATGCATGTTGATCCCTGTCAGATTTATTTTCTCAACTTTGGTTCAGATAAACTTGGCCATTTGTGGTTCAAGGTGCTCTAATCCTTGGGGAAAACTCGAACTGATACAAAATAAATGAGTTCTAAAGAACAAAACAACTCGAGTAATCAACAAGAGAAAAATTGGAAGAGAAACATCATGAATGACTATAACTAGGAGCCACTATTTTCGAGCTTTTCAATTTCTTCACGGTGCTTTCTTTCAGCATCCTGACGTTCTCTTTCAGCATCTTCCTCTTCCTCAATCTCGTCGAGATCATCAAATTCCTTGGTTGCTGCCATTGCTTTCACTACAGGGTCTCTTAGCTCAGATATGAGCCCTCCACCAACCCTATACTCTTCTTCATCCCCAATCAGATACAACCGCTGGTCTGGGCCAGAAGCCATGGGAACATCAACGGCCAGCAGCTTCATATCATACTGCATATGAAGATAACAGTTAAGTAAGCAAACACAGAACCATCAAATCAAACATAAATTGTTCCACATTTTACATTTTTTTTCCCTCTTAGGAGATGTTCTTGCTAATAATCTCAACATAAAATTATAGGGGGAAAAAAGGACAGTTTGGTTAAACAGGAAAAAAAAAATACAAAATAGTAGCTGTACTTGTGTTATACACTTCAGATACTCCTAGCTGCATTTTACAAAAAAATTTCTTTTATTTTTTGAACTTTTGTATCAATGCAGATGGGAATATCACAATAATTTGATAAATGATAGCATTTTATTATGTCTACAGTGATTCATGTTAAAATATCAATTCTCTCTTGATTTAAGATGTGTGTACTATAGCTGTGTTGTGTCTTATAATTTTTAATATCTACCATATCCTCGTTTCATATCCATTTCCAAAATGTTGTGCTTTCTAGGTAATGTAGCACTTCCGCTGGTTACATACATAGTGGAGGACAAACTCCTGAGGTCAATGCCAGCTGAGTACATTGTAATGCACAAAAAAACAGAGTGTGAGGGTGTGAAAGAAAGATTATCCTAGTAAGAAAGATATCATGCATGTAGAAGAGTAAAACCTCTTCATAGTGCAAAATAGCAAAATGAAAAAAGGGCATAAAATTCCTCAATCAGAAACCACATGCCTTGCTGGTCCTAGAAGGGGAGTTGTTAAAGTCCATTCTAAACTATGAGCAGACCGATTGCCAGCTTTTTCCTATATGAATAGAGTAGCTAATTAGGCTCTTCAATTCTGGTTAATATTTTCAGACTAAGCAAAATGTCCTACTTCAGAAATGCAAAGAGAAATTAGGAAGACATCCCAAGGATCAGATATGGTATCAACTATAAAGGTCTATTGAAACCTGTTCTAATGAAACTCGGGGGATGTTGCTGGGGACAAGAGCCCATGTTATTTGCACATGAAACTTGCTGGGGAATATCTTGAGCATGTATTTAGCTTCAAACAATCAGATTTCACTTTCAGCAACCAATTTTAGATTAGACACAAACCCAAAGTTTGAACCCGATCCAATAGATTCAACCAAAATAGGATTTAATACTTGCAAATTTAACGGCAATATAGTAGACGTTTAATTGAATTCCATGCCAAGAAAATGTAGTAAACATGTAAAGCAAAGATCAATGGAAACACTGGCCTTAATAATTTCCTGGTAGGAGAAGTGAGATATATTTCAAAACAGTCAACCAATCCATTGAAATAACACATCATTCATAATTTTTGAATCCTTTTTTGAAGTTGAAGTCAAAATAGAAATGTAGTTGCAGTCACTCTTTCAACATCCCCTCAAAAGCTTTAGTTCTCATTAGGCTTCTGCTCTCACTTTTTAGATATACCCTGATATATGCCTACCAAAAGAAAAGAGCAAGCAAGTCATATGTACACCCCAAAATGGTCTACACCATGATACTTATGGAGATATCCAACTCATGTCAGTATATTACTTCTCAGCTCTGGGTGATTTGATAAAAACCAGACTCCCCTCTTCTCCTCTCAATCTTTCTGCAAGTAATACAAGATTTAGGCTTAAAGCATGCTTTCTTTTTTCTTCAGTGACAAATCCACAAATGCATTCCTTACTTCAGCAGTACATCCAAATTAAAGTATTGGAGGACCAATACCCACAGCATCTTTGAACAGCAGACTCTTCTGCTGACCCTATGTTATGTAGAGTAAGTTGCCAGCCACCAATCATCCTACTGCTATGTTCTTATTTTTTTTGGGATATAAAAGAAGGAATTCATAAAGACAGAGAAGAAAAATTACAAGGAATTTAGAGGATAAGGAATCCTCCTTAACAAAAAAATGAAAACAAAAACAACAAAGAAAAATAAAAATACATCAATAGAGCATAGCAGCCCAATCACTCAGCACATCTGTTAGGGAAATGCCTTCAAACAAAACCATGTTCTTTACACCCAATAGCAATGTTATCAGACTCGGCCCGATCATCAATCCAGTCGGAGTATCGGGTCACTGGTTCAACCGGTAGATCACTGGTTGGACCGCATGAACCGGATAGATAAATATAAATTTATATTTCACACTTAAATTTTTTTTAAAAATCGTAACTTAAAAATAAACATTTATGGGTCAAAATCAAACAAAGAAAAACAATTACACTGTAAGACATAATAAGACCATAAATGTTTATGGCTGGTCATTTATGGCTTGTCATTTACTGTGTAGGTTTCTTTATTATCACTTACACTGTAAGAAAAACAAAGAAGATTCCACATCTTTTGCAGCTTTGCCATGAGGAACTTGACTCCTATCTTTTAACCCAACAACTTGATTATGAGAGCTGATTTCCATTTCTTATCTTTTTTATGCTGAGCTTTGGAAAACTTGACTCCTATCTGCGAAGGAGGTTACTGTTCATTGAGAGTCAGAACCAAATTGTGGAAGATGTCAACAAGGAAGGGGTGGAGAATGGGTCTGATAATGAAAGCGAGGGAGGATCAGATGTTCTGGTTATGGGAATTGAGAACAATACAGAGATGGTTGATTCAATGCTGGAAAATGGGAGAAATGGAAACATTGAGGCTGAAGGCGTAGATGATGTTTTTATGGAAGAATTTGTTCCAAATGAGGCAATTGCAAACAAGAATGAGATTAAAGGTAATGAAATGAAGAATGACTTTGTGTTTAATGAAGTGAAGGAAGACGAGAAGAATAAGTAGAACGATGAAGAAGCCACACAACAATGTTTACCTGATAAAGATTTTGCAAAAAGTTAGAGGTGGGAAGCTTTATGTTCCACATCGACCAGGACATGGAAAAACAATCAGTTTATAAAGCTTTTTCCGAAACGCATGTTAAGTTGTATTGCTTGGCTACGTCAGTGGTTGTATTATTAATGAACCGGTAGGTTGCTGGTTTTTACAAAACCGGCCGGTCGAACCCGGTTGAGTCTAGGCCAAAACGGTTTGAATACATGACCAATCCAATGTAAAACTTGAACCGGTTAAAGGATTGGTTCACCGGTTTCCGAGTTGACTTGGCCGGTTCGAGCCGAGTTTAACATCACTGCCGAATAGAAAATTCCTTAAAATACGAGCTTACGCCCCAAGCAAATGTACCAAAAAGTAGCGTAGATTGCACAACGGCGCTATCGCACGCTATAACGCAATGGTAGCGGGTAGCAGCACCCAGCCGCAACAATCAGCACACAATGCTACTGTTTACAATAGCCAGCAGTAGCGGCCGCTTTCTCAAGTTGCGGTTCGCAGTATTAGCGGCATTTTAAGGGTATAATAGACTAGCTATTTAATATTGAGGTTGAGGGTATAATAGACTATTACTGTTTTTATTATTGAACCCTATCTCCATCTCAACACTTTCCTTCTAAATTTCTATCTCCAGCAGCCGCCTCCATTTCAGTCTCTCTCTTTTTCATTTTCTGGAAGCTCCCTCTCACCCATTTTCAAGCAAGCTTACGGCACAATCTCTTTCACTATGGAACGATTTGCATTACTCTCTGATTCTGTTTTCATATCCAGTGGGAAGCAAAGAAATATTACAAACTCTCGGACTGTTTCAATCTCCAGTGAAACTAAGGAATATTTCGGTATCTCTTTCTCTCACTCATTTTGCAGCAAGCCAAGGCCAAAAAAATCTGATATTCTGACCCAGTTTTGAACTCCATTTGCTAGTGGCTATTATGATTGGTAATTTTTTTAAAAAGTTAAATTAATAATTAATATATTATTATTTTATATTGAAAATTATATATTTTATATTACATAATATTTTAATATAAAGTGACGATGTGTTAATTATGATGTATAGATTACAGATACTCAATAATTTTTTAATTTACTTATCTCATTTAAGTTAGTGTTTATTATGCCCAGTATGAATGAATTTCATTGTAGCGGCTATACTGCTACTCGCTACTGGCTACTACCCGTAATTAATAACTATGAAACCACTGTTATGTACACTAAAACATATATTACAATCGTATGCAACATCATACACCCTCACCCACATCAAGTCTGGTTTTGCAAAAGAAACCACCCAAAGACATATACATCTCTTCCTGTGTGTACATATGTAAAAGAACTCCTTGTTTACAGCAGCACACAACCATATCAATGTATAGATTTACAATATAAAAAAGAAAACCCACTCTATCTAACAATGTTTGCACCATTGCTTTCTATGTACATGTTCAAATCAAGATATTTGGTTGCTTATATAGTAGACAGTGGCGGAGCCACTTGGAGAACAGCTAGGGCTTTGGCACTGGCTGGTTTTTCAAAAACGGTACAGCCTTGGTACGAGCTAAACTTATTTCCTGGCTCTGCCACTGATAGTAGATCTTGGGATGGGTTGGGAAATTTATCACTGGGCATTCATAGACTGAACACTCTGATGCGATTATCATTAGAAGGCATGATTTTGAAAAGGTATATCATACCACAATGATGAAGGTGATATATCACATCAGTTGGAGTTGTCGCCATGTGACTTGGAGGTCACAAGTCTGAATCACGTAATTAAGCTTTTGCAAATACAAGGTAAGGCTACCTACAATAGACCTGAGACCCTGGGCAAAGCGGGAGCATTGTAGCACCCAGTTGCCCTTTTATAAATATCATATCACACTGATGAAGGTGGAACCATAAATCACCATATATGAATTTTTCTAAGAAAATAATCTTGGTGCTGACAAATCTCAAGACTTGGAACAAAAAATGTACCTAAGTTAACAATATTAGTCGTATTGAATGCGGAAAGATGATGTTTAGACAGAGGGGATTCGATTTACCTGGCCCTTCTTTTTCTTGACTTCAACGCTGACTAAACCCTTTCTCTCATGACCTCTTATGGGGAAAATGAGAAAACATCGCCCGCTCCTAATACTTGGCTTGAACTTCTTTAATGTAAGCCCACCCCCTGACATCACATAGGCTCTTAAATCAGTTCCCGTGAGGGGGGCACCCATAACTTCAAGAATCCCAGCAGATGTGTTAAGTTTTGTCATGGCCATTCTATAAACTTTGTCAGGGTTGATTGTGAACCTTGAGCGGATATACAAGCCCTTAAAGATGCAATATGCACAAAAGATTAGACAATAATCCATATGTTAATGCATGATTCATTAATGACAGGTTTCACAGGCAATGGTCCAATATAATGAGAAAAAAAATGTAAAAACAAATAAAATTATCTCGATCTAAAAAACTTTATTGAACAATATAATACCACAGTGCAGATTAAGCTGGAATATATAATCAGAATTAGTAAAAGCCAAATGCACAATACTCTAGTTAAAGTCAATGGACGAGTTTCTATTCAATAATTTAAAGGAGGAGTGGGAAAACGAAAGCAATTCGTGCAACTAGTGTTTGAGAAAATGTAGCAATGAAAAAAATGGAAAAACTTACTGCAAAAGCAACCATAGCAGTTGAAAGGGCAAGGAAGCCATACTTGGCCATGCCTTCGGAAAGAGCAACGAAGGTGTTAGCAATCCCAAAAAGGATTCTCCAGAGCAGAGCACAGACGATAATTCCACCAGCACCCAACAGAACTAGGTAATTCCTCTTAAAGAATGCCTCGATTTGCAACCCAATCGCCTCGCGGTAGCGCGAGAAAGCAGAGGCCACCGCAGCAGCGGGTTTATCCAACACCTTCTTCGCATAACCTCCTCCATCGAATTTCGATGGCTTTAAGGAGAAGAATCTGAAGGCACCCACCCGTTGAGGAAGGAAGAGGGTGGTGTCATTTGAGGAGGTGGGTGGTTTTGCTACAAATGAAGGGGAGAAGAACAAACTTGGAGAAGAAGAATCGCGGAGTGCAGGGCTGCGGAAAGGGGAAGAGGAGGAGGTGCTGAAGCGGTGGTTGATGCCGCGGAACAGACCTTGGAATTGAGTGAGTCTTCGTGAACAACCTCTTGACATTTGCATTTCCTATTCCCAATCAACACCAACAAAAACAGACACAGTACCAGAGACAAAGTTCAAGTGAACCTTTCGTCAACAAATGATCCTTTTAAAAACATGGGTTTAGTGTTTTGTGTTTTGAAAAGAGCCATGTAATTTTAATCGAGAGAAAATAAATTAAAATTGAGAGAAAAAATAATTTTTTTTTAATTTTAAATAAAAAATAGTAAATTACGTGTTTCTATTCTTTAAAATAACATAACTATATGGGTTAGCAACCCAGCCCGTCACTCACAGCTAATAATAACTTCGATTTCTGTTTTTAGTGTTCACTACGGTATAACGTTCATTTTCTGGATTTTATTTTTTATATTATTTAAAATAATTTTTTTCTCCTACTTATGACAAAGGGTGAAATTCACTTTATTTTAAAAAAAAATTTGATAAAAAATTAGAACACAAAAATCGAAATAAGAATAGAAGATAAAATCCCTCTTATATAATATAAAAAAATAAAACCCTCATTTTCTATACCATGAATGGGAGGTGAGAGGACACGTGCTGGGGAAAGCATCATGATTCACCGCCCAGGTGCTAGGTAGTATTTAAGCAATAATCATGGAAAATCGAGGATTGGAATCAATGTTCAGGGGTCGCCAGAACAAATCACGCATATTCAGTATCCTTCTATCTGTGTATAGTTATATAAAATAGAGTGCAAGTTAATGGTTTTTATGATTTTTTTTCATATTATTAACTTATTTTTACATGTCACTTATTTACGAATTTTTTCCCTTTTAAATTTACGCTGATAGTATAGTATAGTTGTAATTTTCATGTATCTTATTGCGAGGGTTCTTAGCTGGTATTGGACGAGTTCTTGCATAATATAAGATATATACACCAATAAGCTACTCCGGAAACAGGCATTTTTCATGTATCTTGATTTCAAAAAGCTTTGGTTTAATTTAAGCGAAGCAATAAGATATTAATTATTCTTATTTTCCAAATTTTAAAATATATGTAGAGATCAGATTCAATTAATCACTAATTATTATTTATTTATGAGAAAAAGATTTGTCCTTTTAAAATATATAAAATTATGTTATTTTAATTAAAATTACTATATTTTAGGATAAGAAAAATAATTATTTAATGAAAGATCATGGTGTGGAAGATGATGGGGAAGAGTAAAAAATTATTGAGAATTTTTTAATTTAAATATTAAATAAAACATTACTATTTTACTTAAAATTTTATGTTTTTTAAAAGACAAACATTTTTTTCTTTATTTATTTATTATATATTTCTATTCAGAATATATTTTATGGAATCCCGTGCTCTGTGTTAAAAGATAATATGAAATATCGTGTATGAATCATTTTCCATCAGGACGGTCACATTCCACATTGTGCTGGTCAACATTCTCATCTATCACAAATAAAACATGTACGATGGGCAAGTTTTCGGTGATAAGATGGTATAAAACAAGTATCATCTTCGTAAAAGTTACAACAATTTAATTGTTAATTTTATGGGTACTTTGTTCTCTTGGCAGTCTCTCTTAATTTTAAGATATTAAGTTATTTTTGTTTTTTAAATAAATAAATTAAGTGAAAATTTAAGTGTGAAAAAGATAAAATTTAAATTGACAAGTGATTTATAATTTTATCGTTAAACATAAAAAAATGTTAATAATATATCATAACTTTAAAATAATGGTATCATCACTCTAAATTTTTATTATATAAAAATATTATCAATACAAAAATAAATTAAAAAATAGAATTTAAGTGTATACAATAAGAATATTAGTTAATGGATACTAGTAAATATACAAGCCCTTAAAGATGCAATATGCACATGATCCTATACAATGGGAAAGAAAAATGCAAATTTTGTTTTTTATCTCAACCTAAAGAAGCCATAGGCAGTGCCTTCAGTAGGAGCAACTGTGTAGCAATCCCAAAGAGGATATCTAGAACAGAGCACAGATGATAATTCCAACGGCACCCAGCAGAACTAGGTAATACCTCTTGAGAAATGCCTCAATTCGATTTGCAACCCAATCACCTCACAGTAGCGCAAGAAAGCAGAGGCTACTACAGCAGCTGGTTTATTCAACACCTTCTTTGCAAAAAATTTGACGGTTTTAAGGAGAAGAATCTGAAGGCACTGCCTTGATTTGCAACCCAATCGCCTCACAGTAGCGCGAGAAAGCATAGGCTACTACAGCAGCGGGTTTATCCAACACCTTCTTTGCAAAAAAATTGACGGTTTCAAGGAGAAGAATCTGAAGGCACCCACCCGCTGAGGAAGGAAAAGCGTGGTGACATTTAAGAAGTTGGTGGTTTTGGAACAAATGAAGGGTAGAAAAACAAACTTGAAGAAGAAGAATCGTGCTGTATAAAGAAGAGGAGGTCATGGTGAAACAGTGGTTTATGCCGTGGAACAGAGCTTGAAATAGGGTGATTCTTTGGGAACAAACATTTGCATTTGCGATTCTCAATTAAATTGACATGTGATTTATAATTTTTTTTGTTAAACTTAAAAAATGTTAATAATATATGGTAACTTTTTTTTTTGGAAACAATATATCATTCGTAACTTTAAAATAATTGTATCCTCACTTTAAATTTTTATTATATAAAAATATTATTAATACAAAAACAAATTAAAAAAATAGAATTAAAGTGTATACAATGAAGGAGAAAACGTTTGTTCTTTTAAAGTTTGATTTTATTGGATTTTATTACAAATTAATTAATTAATAAGTTTGACTCAATAAATCTTAACCGTTGATTACGGAAATCAACTCTCAGGATCTAAAATGAAACAAAATTACATCTTTTAAAAGAACAAACATTTCTCCCTACAATAAAATATTTAAATAATATTTAATAAATTAATATTTTTTTTTGTTTTATCCATGAGACTATGACATTGTAAAGAGCAATTATATAATTTTAACTTAGGGATTTATTTATCTTATGTTGCATGAGATATGTTATTTCTCTTGTCTCTCTTTCTACTTACCTTTACCTACCACTCTCCAATCTATGATGCACGGACATTGACACGACACACCGACACGTTAATTCTAAAAAATGATATATTTCGACACGTTGGGACACGTTTTGATATTAAATAATATTTTTAATATATAATATAATTTATATTTAATAGATACAGTCCATAATAAGTCATAATCAATCAAATATCCAAATTTCATAACATAAATATAAACAAAATAATTTTTCGTACCTTGTTAATTTTTCATGTCAAATTTCATAACAGAAAAAAATTGATTTATAATGATTTTTTTTATTTTTGGTTAATTAAAAAAAATGTGTCCTAGTGTTGACCATATGTCCGAAAAAACGTGTCGAAGCGTGTCGGAGAGTTGACCACGAGTTCTAAAATATTGACCGCATGTCGGACGCATGTCGGAGCTTGTCCGTGTCGGACACTTTAATTCCAAAAAAATGACGAGTCCGTGTTTTATAGTCTCCAACAACATAAGATTATGATCAAATGGTTTTGAAAAGTGATAAGTAAATATAAGTAAAAAAAGTAGTTAGAATAACCTATCTCATATTGCATAAGATAATTATCTTATGCAACAGAGATAAGGTAATGGGGTCTATTATTTTTCTTAGTGGACCTCATTACCTTATCTCTATTGCATAAGATAATTATTTCCCTTTAGCTTATCATTGGAAGACACTTGTTTTTTTTTCTTAATAAATAGAATTATCATGTCAAAATTAATTTATATTTTTTTGGTAAATTAATTTAGGGATGAGTTATTCTTCCTACCTTTCTTATTACTATCCAATACCATTATATTAGAATCTCAAGATGAGAGAGAAATGAGAAAGGTTAATTGAAATTCTGATCTAACATTGTTAAATAGTATACATGAAAAAAAACCATTAATTTATAATTTTCTACAAGTGATGTATTTACATTCAAATTAATGAATTTTATTTTTTTCCCCTAAAGAATAGTTCCATATATATGTTGGGAATAATATCCACAAAATATTTTTTTTCTATAATAATAAACATTCACATACAAAAGGGAGTTGGCCTACGGAGGTGGCATTGGCTGGTAATTTTCTTCACCAATCTGAGTGTTCCAAAAAAATGGGCTTGTATTCTTCTAATTTTGGGTTACAAATACAGATAAGTATAAGGGGAAAATATTTGTTATTTTAAATTATATAAATTTATATTATTTTAAATGAAACTATTAAATTGTGATAATTTTTTGTCTTCTTTCTTTTTTATAAAACTCTCGATTTCTCTCTCCTCCTAATTTTGGGGATGAGAGAGAATATAAAAAGTCACTAAATATGTCAAAACATATATTTCACTTAAAATGACAAAAATTTATATTTTCTAAAATGAAAAATATTCTTCCCAAAATATAATGGAGTTAAAGTTTCACGGAATAAACTATATTTTAGAGAGAGAAAATCATTACCAGGGTTAGGTTTTCCCCAACACTATTACTCTTATTCACCCTGCCGTATATATACCCAATGATCTTATTTAAATGGGTATGTGAGACTGGGTAGGACTGTAATGTTAAATGAAATATTTCTTTGGGTGGATATAATGGGTCTGTCTAATTGGAAATCCACTGAAATTGAGGGGATTGCGGAAAATTCTGAAATGTCCTTCTTTGACTTATCTTAATGTCGAAGGAAATTCGGTACAAGTTGAGAATGAATAAGGAAATAACAGAGCAATTGGGATACCACTGTCTTCATTAATCAAAAAACTTAATGGGTAATTTTATGGTATTGATCCTTACTGTAAAATCTAATACAAATACCTTCACACGATCTTGATCTTGATAAGTTAGGGGCTTAGACCTATTAAGACTAAAATGTTCTTCGGTCAATCACGTGAATTTGTTTATGGAATGGCATAGTTGCGACATCTGCAACATTAGAATCATCACTTGACCAAGCGCCACAACAGTTAAATGGCAATTAACATTGGACGTAAAATTTAACTACTCCTATATCGATGCACATCATTATGGAAAACAGTTCTCAGTTACAAAGCTAGTTTCTAAAGTAACAAAAAATAAAATAAAAAAATTCAATAAAGGCAAACGACATACACTAGAACGATCAAAGCAAAAAAATAAAATTTGCTATCGAAGTATAACTCAATTCAATGGAAGGATTAGGATAAAAGTATGTATTTTCTGTGCAAAAGTTTAAATTCCCCTTCAAATAATAGTCCTGTTGAGTTTTTTTTTTTTTTAAAAAAAAAAGAAATTTTAATATTTAAGGGTCAATTGAATATTTTATTTTTAAAAAGAGAGAATATTAATATTTAGTAGTTAGTTGAATATTTTTAAAAAGACTAAATAAAAACATTTTTTAATAAATTATTACTAAATAATAAACTAGACCATTTTGACTAATATAGGTCATTATTAGTTTTTTAAAATTTATTTTATAATTATTTATAAATTAATTACTAGTTATATCTATTTTACAATTTTAAATATATCTATTCAGGAAATATTTTTACATAATCCCGTTCTGAGGTGTTAAAGATAGATCGAATCACCGAGTGTCAATCTATTTTACAAGAATTGCGTCACATGGTGCGAATTTTAACATGCTCACCCATCACAAATAAAACAAGTATAACGCTGTAAGCTTTTCACCTGATAAGGCCATAAGAAAGAGATACATAGAGATATTAAACGGGACGAATAAAAAGAGAAACATAGAGATATTAAACAGGTCCAATAAAAAGAGAAACATAGGGATATTAAACAGGTCCAATAACCCAAAATTAACTGAACAAATGAGTAAATAAGCTACTATCGAAGGCCAAACAAAACCATCAATGACAAGGGGATCCCACCAAAACATGGCATTCATTCCATTCAAGGTGGTCCGCAAATCCGGACATTAACTCAATATTGTTTAATACTACGAGCAAAACAAATAGAACTATCAAATTCAGTCTTGCGCAACTACTGTGGTCAAAGTCTACTATTTCAGAGTGCCAGACCGCTAAGCAGTAGCGCTATTTATAAAAGCTCTTCCAGGTGCACGGTTTGCCAACGGTCCATGGCACCCAAGAAGCTGCAAAACCGCAAGAAGGAACTTGTGAATTTGTAAATAAGATAGTTAAAAATAACAAGATAAAAATTATATCATTTGAATGCACAATGAAAAATTTAAGCAAAAATATGCGCCAAACAAACCTAGATCCAAGTTTAAAAATAAATAATGTCCTCAGCACGAAAAACAACTGCATGCCATAAAGTTTCAAATATGATGCATAAGTTCATTCATATGCAGCTTCACGTTACCTTTGCATTCACACCATCAGGCATAATCCGGTTCGCCGACTTGAACTTAAGATAATCAGTACGGTTAAACTTGGTGAAACCCCTGAAAAAGCATTTTAAACAATAGATACTGTTAAACTAAATGCAGAAAAATATCTCCATACGATAAAGAACCAAAAGAAAGAATATCTAATCAAATCCTTAAACAAACAGGTCACTAACCCAGTTCATCACAGAATCTCAATGCATAAATAAAAGGTTTTTCTATATAAAAGGTTTTTATATAGAAAAACATATTATTATTCATAATTCAAATGAAGGTACTATGTTACGATCCCACACCCAAAAGACCGGTCAATGGATGGGAGAACCCTTGCATTTATTAATAGATTTGAAGTTATTGTATCTTTAGATGTGGGATTCGTAAGGGCCGATGTCCAAGGTGGCTTCACTATATCGACATTGATCCGATGATAGCTCTTTTTCTCTTTTGGCGACTTCACTCATCTATCTGTATTCAGTACAACAACCCCCCCCCCCCCCCCCCCCCGCCTTCCTTGAGAGGTATGGAACCTTAATTCAGCCTATAGGTAGCCCTTTATGTGGCCTCATCTCCCAATGAAAGCACCAATTGTTACGATCTAACACCCCCAAAGGAGATCCACACCCAAAAGACTGGTCAATGTGGGGGAGAACCCTTGGATTTAATAATAGATTTGAAGTTATTGTATCTTTAGATGTGGGATTCATAACATATTATGGTAAAGATCCTAGTTAAGTCTAAAACAGACATAACTTATCTGAACAATGAGATGATCATGGCATCAAAAGCATTAGAATGACCGTATACATGTTCAGATGCAAAAGTTTACTGCTAAAAGAATTAATACATACCATTTCCTGCTAACTATTATCTTCTGACGACCAGGAAACTTAAACTTAGCACGGCGTAGCGCCTCCTGTGCATGATGGCTGTTGCTGTCCTTACAGCGGACAGACAGAAGGACCTGACCAATGGCCACTCTAGCACATGTGCCTTGTGGCTTACCAAATGCACCTCTCATCCCTGTCTGAAGCCTGTCAGCTCCAGCACATGAAAGCATCTTGTTAATCCTAAGAACATGGAATGGATGTACCCTGACTCTCAAGTGGAATGCATCCTTTCCAGCAAATTTCGACATATATTTGTTGCAGGCAATCCTAGCAGCTTCCAATGCTTCACTTGAAACATTTTCCTTCTCCCAGCTCACCAGATGAACGCAGAAAGGAAACTCATCAACACCTTTCTTCTTCATACCAACATCATAAATTCTGATCTTAGGATCAGGAACACCACGGCAGAAGCGTGACTTGGGATATGGCTTGTTTTTAATCTGGCGATAACACCTTGCAGGTCCTAAATCATGAATCATTCACTATTACCATTATGCAAAAACTGAACCAATTTCATTCCAACATCATTTTCAAAAATTACATGGAACAAACACAAATATCACCATTCATACATAACAAACAATAGGAGTGTAGTCATATAGAGTATAATGTAACATTTAAAAGGGACTTGGTAACTAATATGAATACAATAAAGCTCCCAAAACAAATAACATCGAGCATAACACATAGTAATTCAATGCAAGCTAAGTCCTATGTCTATGACCCGCTAGTGGTTTTTCAAGGAGAGTACGTAAAAGACTAAAGCATGATAAGTTCTTGAAGCTTCATCCATTAGAAAACTTATAATAAAGGAGGTTTCAACTTTAAACAAAGCAGCTAAAACGGATTCAATTATTCTCGATTTGTGTACAGAGTTGCAATATATCGCTGACCAAAGCATATTTCAATAGAGAAAGCCAGAGAAAACACAACAATCTAGCTAACCTTCAAAACCAATAAAACCTCAAGATCCAGAAATAAGGAAAAAGAAGAAGAAGGAAATATCAAAAATCCAAAACGCATAACGCAACTACGATTTCATTTGAATCATATAAACTGAAAACAGCAAAAAACCGATTTGGATGGGGAATTCATGAAAATCCATATGTGAGATGAAATGAAAATGAGAAATGGCGAAAACATCAAATTTTGGGGGAAAAGAGATAGCTGCTTACTCCTCCCCATTGCTACGTCTCTCCTCGCAACGCGTTCTTCCGAGGCTGCGCACCGAAGACTAAAACCTACTTGGATTCAATTACATATATATATATTATGATCATGATCTTCATTTGTGGGCTGGCTTCTGTTTGGGCCCAATCCTGAATAAGGCTTTAGAGTATTGGGCTAGCTATTAGTGGGCATTATAGTGGCCCACTTCAATTATCACATTTTGTAATGGGCTATGAAGGACAAATACAACGGCTGATTACCATTTAGGGGGGTGTTTGATAATTGGTGGAGGCAAAAAAATTTACGGAAAAATTAAGACTCTCATTGTGAAAAAGTGAATTTTTTTACAATGTTACTAAAAAAATGTTTAATGAGTCAAAATATTACCGAAAGTTTTGTCAAAATTTTGACATCTAATTTTTTATTTTTTTGGTAAAGTGATTCTTGAATAGTATATTGGTTTACATTTTATGTACAAAACAAAATTTCCAAAAAATCACATTTGCCAAATTTTTTTAAAAGTCTTCTATCAAATATAAATAAATTAAATTACCACCTTCTTATTCCCGAAAATCTAAAATTAAACGCTCAACCAAACACCTCCTCAAATTTCATTTCAACCTCTAATTCCTCGTTGCAACATAATTATATTCCGAGGATGGTCACACCACCACCATCGCAACGCTTATTTATTTATTTATTTTTTAAAAATAAAATAAAATCGGGCCGATGAAATTATGCTATATGGTGAATATTGGTCCATTTTTTTTCAATTCTCCTTTTTAATAAAAAGTTAATATTCTCAAATTTACTCATCCACTTTAAATATCTAATAATTAAAATTATTAATTACTAAATAAATAAAAATTATTAATTAATAAAATCACTTATTGATTATTAACTAAAATCACTGATCACTAATTAATAATTAAAAGTTACAGATTAATTTAAATTAGTAATTAGTAGTTAATTTTAGTAATTAATGATTTTTAATTTAATTACTGATTATTAAATTTAGTAATTAATAATTATGTATTAATTAATAATTTTAATTATTTAATATTTAAAGTGAGTGAATGAATGTAAATATATATATATATATATATATATTTTATATAATAACACTGAGGTTTGATTTTATAACTCATACACACTATTAAACCCTTGACTGTAAATATTTTATAAAAGAAGAATGTGATAGGAAATTACCAAAAAAAAATTACGCAATATGATTTGCCTCGTTTCATTTTATTTTTTTCAAAAGAAAAAAATGTGTTCAGAGTGGTGGTGAGACTTACCAGTTACCACCCCTCTCATATATAATTCTGTGGCAACTCATATGGGGTTTTACTTTAGAGACTCAAACGTTACTTGAATGCTCAATCAGCCTGAATATAACAATCACGGGATATGTATCATATGAACACATGGATACAATGATTTCTACAAATAATATGACACAACATGACTAGCAAATGATAAGGTATTTTTCCGCTAAGCGCATAGAGTAGAGTTTGATTTGCAAATAAAAAAAAGTATATTCTATTCCCCTTCATCTCATTCTTTTTCGTAAAATCTAGATCCATTATTTCTTCTTCTTTATATTATATTTTTAAATGTAAAATAAAGCTCTATACCTCATAACCTGTCATTTTATTAAGTTTGTCACTTGGTAATCTTATACGAAAAAAACATTAAAATAAAAATAAAAATAAAGGATTTTTAAATGAAAAAAATATTTATCCTTTAAAAAAAATACAGTTCTGTCATTTTAAAAGAAAAAAAACACAAACTAATTTTTTTTATTTAAATTTAAATTAAAAAAATTTACTTTCTCCCCCATAATTTTCACAATATCCTTGGAATCCGTTCCCGAACTTCAAAAGTTCAATTTCTTTTTTAGCAGATTACCAAGCAATCATCAGTTCACCATAAGGTGGTTTCCAAATGGCATATGTCTATAATTTATATAAGAGATTTCTCGAGACCAAACCAGAGAAAAATCATCACAAAATTGGTTATTAAACCCAAACGAACATGTTGAGGAATGAAGTAAACAAACAGAGAAGCCCAACAAAATCATAACTTTATCTTACAAAATCTCATACCCTTAATCTTTTTCTTAGCAACCGTTTGAGAAGCTGATCATTTTATTTTATTTTATTTTAATAGAAATCAATCAGTGGCTGAAGCCTTAATGTCCAGACTGATTTGTTTTCAAGTTTGAGCCTCACCCTTCCCATAAATTGCAAATTTGAGAAATTGAACCAATTACATTTTAAACAGATCAAATACTTGAATTTAGTTTGGACATCACTAGACCAACAACAACTCTTTAAGAAGCTAATCAATTTTTTTATCTGTTGTTCCATTTATTTCAACTATTAAACAAAAAAAAATTGAAGTTCCATGCGTTTGGGAAGCAAATTTCAACCTGGTATCAAATTGGAGGGGCTCTTCCACCACGATTCATCGTTTCGAATTTCTGTATAGTAATACTTTTCTTATCTTTCCTAGATAAATTTGTGTATACTTCTTTCTATTGTTTATATTAGTTCAGATAACTTATCAATAGCATGTTGTGGTTCTTAGACCCAAAGACAACAATTTTCCTGGAACTTTGGTAGCTCTAAGCTGAAAATAAATATGATTTGAAAAGGAATACAACTTAAGAACTACAGTTTACTGCAAGATATACACGTCTTAAATACAGTTAAAAACTCTGGTTAGATTGACACGTACATAATACAAAACCATCAAAACTAATTTCAGTGCTATCAAAATTTCATCCCGAATAATCTGACCCAAAATTTAATTTCGTTTTAGCCTCTTTATTCTCTCAAGGGCACCAAGCCGATTCTCATTATCCTTATCTTTCGCTCCATCCGCTTCTTCGTTGTTTTCATTCTCGTCTCTCTTTCTAATCAAACCACCAAAAACAGCAGAAGGGACATCTTTTTGTGCAATTTCAACCTTATCATCATCATCAGAGTCACTTTCTTCTGGTAACTCGATATCTTCATGATTTACGCTAGTTTTTATCCCTCCATCAGACTGTGATTCCACTCCAGCACTCACAAACCCAACTTTTCTATCTTTTTTCACCATATTCTTAGTTGTTGGGGCTAAATGCCTTTCTAAAGCGACCATTTCATCCTCATGAGGTACCCCAGCCTGCTTCAATTTGTCTTTGGCTTCATCAAGATTCACAGTTTGATCCTTCTGCATCATATACTCAGGCAGTATAAAATGTGTCTGGAAAAACAATACAACTAAGATTAGAATAAATGCAGAATATCAAGGTTACAGACAGGAAAAATGAAAATGAAAACAAGCTAGAAGCTACTTGTAAGCTAAAGCTAAAAAAAAAGTTTAAAAAAAGAAGCTAGAAGCTGTTTGGAAATTATATAAAAGTTTTAGCTTAAAAATGACTTAAAATCACATATTTCAAGAAAATTATCTTTCTCTATCTTTATCACTTTTCATTTAAAAAAAAAGTACACAATTCAAGAAAAACAGATAAGAGATTAAAAAAAGCTCCTCCTAGGAGCTTTTAGTTTTCAGCTTTTTTCTTCGTTATAAAAAAAGAGCTTTTCGTTATAAGAGTTTTTCTCAAAACCTGTTTGGCCTAGCTTATGCTTATAAGGAGCTTCTAGCTTTAAAAAAAGAGGATCCAATCAGGCACAAGTAACCTGGCTGTAGCTTGCAGAGACACTACGCTTAATACGAAGCATTTCTCTGAAGGTATCTTCATTCCCATGCTGAACTTCAAACTCATGCCACTTATTCCAAAATTATGGATCAGACCGTGGATCTGCAAACTGAGAGGCAAATACATATATTCCTCGAGCCCGATCAATTTCTCCCAGACTTTTTTCCAGCTCAGCATATTTCAAACACATAGTTTTGACATCCTTGTGTGGAAGACCAGATTCAATTGCCTGCTCATAGATCTCCCTTGTTTTGGGAACACCAAATATCTCAGCTGCACGAGCAATATATATTTCGTACATGCTTAACTTCTCATTGTTAGGAACAGCCTTAGTTGCTTGATCATAAACCTTCATAGCCCGCTTTGCTAGTCCATAATCCTCCTCCAGCTTAGCATATTGCAGATAAAGAGGTTTCACTTGATCAGCTGGGGCCTGTTTGGCAAGCATGACCCAAAGAAGGATTAGGTTAGTATTATAAAACATTATCAGCATTCAAAAGCGATATTAGCAAATAAAATATCATCATATAATGCAGATAACTAAAAAATACTTAATATATCTTTGACAAACTAGACGCATTTTCCATACTTCAAAACTTCAACACAATACAAACAACTGGGAAAGGTTACTCAAGTGCAGTTAAAACTTGCAAATATAGTCATACCACAATATTCTATGACGTATACTAACAGGTGCAGCACATATTAGTATCACATATATACGAAAGGTTGACTTTCACTTACACTAGTCAAAGTTGCACCTAAACCTTATAAGGTAATAATATAAGCTTAATTGCATTACATGAGTTACATCAATATATCAGCATTAATCTACATCGACTCACCAAATTTGATGTTTTATGAAAAATTAATTAATATTTTATAGGTTCAACTTGAGTAGTGGAAATTACAACCATACAAATGACAAAAAAAAAAACTGAGATCATCAAGCAGACTATTTTATGATGGGTCATTTTCAAAAATACCTCAGGAATAAGCTTTGTTGATATTTGACACACTCTAAAGTTTAAACTTAATCATGCTCTGGGATCACCAATGTAAAACTCATAAAGAAATAATACTTCAAGAACACTTAGATTTGAGGGGAGAAATGTGCATATCGTTTGAACCGCATTCTCAAATAGCTCTCTCGCTCTCTCCAATTTTGTCTTTCCATATCTCTTTATAAATTTAGACAGATATGTAACCCACATATCTTTAACATGCGGGTACTTAAATATCTTCACACCTCTTTCATAAACTTTAAAAGCATCTTCAAAGTATCTATGTTCCTCCATAAATATATCTAACAATTTGTCAATCAGTCAAAACCAGTGGAAGTA